CCCATTGGTAGCCTACAGACGACGAACGATCCGCCCCATTGGTAGCCTACAGACAGATGAACAATCCGCCCCATTGGTAGCCTACAGACAGACGACGAACAATCCGCCCCATTGGTCGCCTACAGACCGACAAACGATCCACCTCATTGGTAGCCTACAGCCCGACGAACGATCCGCCTCATTGGTTGCCTACAGACAGACGAACGATCCGCCCCATTGGTAGCCTACAGACAGACGAAACGATCCGCCTCATTGGACGCCTACAGCCAGACGAACGATCCGCCTCATTGGTTGCCTACAGACCGACGAACAATCCGCCCCATTGGTAGCCTACAGACGACAAACGATCCGCCTCATTGGGACGCCTACAGCCAGACGAACGATCCGCCTCATTGGTGCCTACAGAGACATTGGTAGACAGATGAACAATCCGCCCCATTGGTAGCCTACAGAGACCGACAAACGATCCGCCTCATTGGTAGCCTACAGACAGACGAACGATCCGCCTCATTGGTTGCCTACAGACCGACGAACAATCCGCCCCATTGGTAGCCTACAGACAGATGAACAATCCGCCCCATTGGTCGCCTACAGACCGACGAACAATCCGCCCCATTGGTAGCCTACAGACCGACAAACGATCCGCCTCATTGGTAGCCTACAGCCAGACGAACAATCCGCCCCATTGGTAGCCTACAGACAGACGAACGATCCGCCTCATTGGTTGCCTACAGACAGACGAACGATCCGCCCCATTGGTAGCCTACAGACAGACGAACGATCCGCCTCATTGGTTGCCTACAGACAGACGAACGATCCGCCCCATTGGTAGCCTACAGACAGACGAACGATCCGCCTCATTGGACGCCTACAGACAGAACTGTACGGTATCCGCAGGACGCAGCGCGATGTCGGGACACTCAGATCTTCATTTCTGGTCATCGTCTGACCACCAGGACACTCTTAGAAATCACGGGGCCCCATACACCCTACCTGCAGGTGTATGGCCCCGAATACGGCGGCACCAATTGGGATTCAGGACACAGATTCCCATTCTCTGCACTGCAGATGAATGAACAGGAGGCGCTCCGCACAGCGACTTTCTGCTCATTCACAAACTGAAGCACAGAAAACACAATTTACTGTTTACATTATGAATGAACACAGGAACAAATGGCACCGATCCCTCACTGTGTTCATTCAGGAAAGGATCGGTTAACACGCCATGATTACTGGTCCCCCCCCCCCCCTCGCTCTCCATCCTGAGACCGATCTCCTGTGCCCTACAGCCGTGGGAGGAAGAAGAGGTGAAGCTGGCAGTGATGGTGGGGAGTGGGAGCTGTGGGGTGAGATGATTGTGTACAGGTGAGGGGGGGATCAGAGCGGCGGGGGGGGGGGGGGCAATCCCTGAAACCAACCCCTGTGCCTCCCCCTGCAGTAGCTGACAACTGGCGGAGGAGAAGCTGGCTACAGGGAAGGGAATCATGGACAGGATAGAACCAATCACGTACACCCGATAGGCCCAACGTACACCCGATAGACGTCCCAACGTACACCCGATAGGCCCAACGTACACCCGATAGGCCCAACGTACACCGATAGATCCCAACGTACACCCGATAGATCCCAACGTACACCCGACGATCCCAACGTACACCCGACGATCCCAACGTACACCCGATAGATCCCAACGTACACCCGCTAGATCCCCAACGTACACCCGCTAGACCCATCGTACACCCGTCAGGCCCAACGTACACCCAACAGGCCCAACGTACACCCGCTAGACCCAACGTACACCCGCTAGATCCCAACGTACACCCGATAGGCCCAACGTACACCCGATAGGCCCAACGTACACCGATAGGCCCAACGTACACCCGATAGATCCCAACGTACACCCGATGATCCCAACGTACACCCGATAGATCCCAACGTACACCCGCTAGACCCATCGTACACCCGTCAGGCCCAACGTACACCCAACAGGCCCAACGTACACCCGCTAGACCCAACGTACACCCCTAGATCCCACGTACACCCGGCCCAACGTACACCCGATAGGCCCAACGTACACACCCGATAGATCCCAACGTACACCCGATAGATCCCAACGTACACCCGATAGATCCCAACGTACACCCGATAGATAGGACCCCAACGTACACCCGATAGGCCCAACGTACAACACCCGATAGATCAACGTACACCCGACGTACGTACACCGATGATCCCAACGTACACCCGATAGATCCCAACGTACACCCGCTAGACCCAACGTACACCCGCTAGACCCAACGTACACCCGTCAGGCCCAACGTACACCCAACAGGCCCAACGTACACCCGCTAGACCCAACGTACACCCGCTAGATCCCAACGTACACCCGATAGGCCCAACGTACACCCGATAGATCCCAACGTAGCCCAACGTACACCCGATAGATCCCGACGATAAACGTACACCCGATCCCATGATCCCAAACGTACACCCGATAGATCCCAACGTACACCCCGCTAGACCCAACGTACACCCGCTAGACCCAACGTACACCGCACCCAACGTACACCCGATAGGCCCAACGTACACCCGATAGATCCCAACGTACACCCGATAGGCCCAACGTACACCCGATAGATCCCAACGTACACCCGATGATAGGTTACACCCAACGTACACCCGATAGGCCCAACGTACACCCGTCAGGCCCAACGTACACCCGATAGGCCCAACGTACGTACACCCGATAGGCCCAACGTACATAGGCCCAACGTACACCCGATAGGCCCAACGTACACCCGATAGGCCCAACGTACACCCGATAGATCCCAACGTACACCCGCTAGATCCCAACGTACACCCGATAGATCCCAACGTACACCCGCTAGACCCAACGTACACCCCTAGACCCATCGTACATCAGGCCCAACGTACACCCGATAGGCCCAACGTACACCCGATAGACCCAACGTACACCCGGATCCCAACGTACACCCGATAGGCCCAACGTACACCCGATAGGCCCCAACGTACACCCGATAGGCCCAACGTACACCCGCTAGACCCAACACCCGATAGATCCCAATCACCCCAACGTACACCCGAGCCCACGTACACCCGATAGATTCCCAACGTACACCCGATAGGCCCAACGTACACCCGATAGATCCCCAACGTACACCCGTTAGGCCCAACGTACACCCGATAGATCCCAACGTACACCCGCTAGACCCATCGTACACCCGACAGGCCCAACGTACACCCGATAGGCCCAACGTACACCCGAAAGGTCCAACGTACACCCGCTAGACCCAACGTACACCCGATAGATACCCGATAGGCCCAACGCCCAACGTACACCCGATAGGCCCAACGTACACCCGACAATACCCGATCCCAACGTACACCCGATAGGTACCCAACGTACACCCGACCCAACGTACACCCGATAGCCCAACGTACCCCAACGTACACGTACACCCGATAGGCCCAACGATACACCCGATAGGCCCAACGTACACCCGATAGGCCCAACGTACACCCGATAGATCCCAACGTACACCCGATAGATCCCAACGTACACCCGATAGATCCCAACGTACACCCGATAGGCCCAACGTACACCCGATAGGCCCAACGTACACCCGATAGACCCAACGTACACCCGATAGGCCCAACGTACACCCGATAGGCCCAACGTACACCCGATAGATCCCAACGTACACCCGATAGGCCCAACGTACACCCGATAGATCCCAACGTACACCCGATAGATCCCAACGTACACCCGATAGGCCCAACGTACACCCGATAGATCCCAACGTACACCCGCTAGACCCAACGTACACCCGCTAGACCCATCGTACACCCGACAGGCCCAACGTACACCCGATAGATCCCAACGTACACCCGATAGGCCCAACGTACACCCGATAGATCCCAACGTACACCCGACGATCCCAACGTACACCCGATAGATCCCAACGTACACCCGATAGATCCCAACGTACACCCGATAGATCCCAACGTACACCCGACAGGCCCAACGTACACCCGACAGGCCCAACGTACACCCGACAGGCCCAACGTACACCCGATAGACCCAACGTACACCGAGCTGAAATCCTACCAGACAGAACGATCCTAAATGGGTTTTGGGCTTCTTTAGCACAAATGGAGAATTCCACCATCACAGAAAATAATGACCAAACAATAGAAATATGTAACAATGAAAGTACCGTACGCTGGCTACAAGTCCCCTCATTGGATGTTATAAATAGAACAGTACAATATGGCCGCCTGGTGGTGTTCTGTATACAGCTGGTACGGGGAACGCCCCCAGAAATGTCATTTCCTGCTCTGTGATTGGCTCACTGATTTTCCCAAAAGTCTGCACTAAGATACAAGTCATATTTTTGGCATTCCCTGCAATAGGAATTTCAGTTTTGATGAGATACTCCCCCGAGGGTTAAACACATCTAAAGGGATGCAGACCCCGCCACTTTCCTCATCAGAACACAGAGTGCACCAGGTGATTATAATGACCCCGCCCCTCCTAGTGAGAATCAGTCTGCGCAGGACTCGGGGATTGGAGAATCTGCTACAAATCATCCGAATCCCTCCAATGTGCATAGATCACCCCGAAGGGGGCGGGGTTTTCTCAACAAAAGCGGAGTTGCTCTTAAGGGGCTCATTCACACCAGCGATCTGCAGTGAGGGATTGGCCACTGCTGTGGACTAGGAAACCGCGCCAATCCTGGGGCGTCACAAGGTTTTGTTTTTTTCACAGAACTTTACTGACACGTCACAGGTTACATTCCCATCCATTCCATGTGATGTGAGCACCCCAGCAGACCTGTGAGCGCTATGGACGCCATGAATCCCATGGCCGAGAACAGACGCACAATCGGCGATTTTCCGTTTACCTTCGTCCCGTAGATGGTGGTACTCCTCACACCCAATGCATAGGTGAAAGCCATCATTGTGAAGGCAGCCGTCTTCCCACCTTCAAACTCCATGTTGACGACCTGTTAATGGGAAGTACAACATCTATTGGAGATTCTCCACCACCGAGTCAATGCCTCCTGCTGGACCCCCCCCCCCTCCTGGGCCCCCAGCCAGCTGTAGATCCCTTAGGCTACGTTTACACTGACCCGCAGCTAAATGTTTTTACTGCATTTCTATCACAAGTGCGGAGTGGTTTTTAAAGACTCAAAAGCCGCAGCAAAAACGCAACGCAGGTGCATCTTTGGTGCTTTTGTCAGTGTTCTCCATTGATTTCAATGGGGAGGTGCGCTTTTTTTTTTTTTTCTACTGCACAAAAATGCAGCAAGCGGGACTCTGAAAGACGCACCAGATCAGTGTGAAAGCAGCCTTAATCTCCCACAATGCCTCCCAGCACCCACAGCGACCCACAGTGCCTCCAGGCCCTCTAAGCACCCTCGGCCTCCACAGTGCCCTCCTCCCCCACAACCTCCCACTGTGCTTCACAATCTGCTACATAATACATAGCCTCCAGCCCTCCACAGTGCCCCCAACCTCCAACAGTGTCCAACATTGCCCCCCCAAAACTTCCAGTTTATCCCCATAGCACCTCCAGTAGGCACCCCAATGGACGCCTCCAGTAGGCATCCCCATGGACACCTCCAGTAGGCATCCCCATGGACACCTCCAGTATGCATCCCCCATGGACGCCTCCAGTAGACACCCCCATGGACGCCTCCAGTAGGCACCCCCATGGACGCCTCCAGTAGGCACCCCCATGGACGCCTCCAGTGGGCATCCCCATGGACGCCTCCAGTAGGCACCCCCATGGACGCCTCCAGTAGACATCCCCATGGACACCTCCAGTATGCATCCCCATGGACACCTCCAGTATGCATCCCCATAACACTTCCAGTAGGCATCCCCATGGACACCTCCAGTAGACATCCCCATGGACACCTCCAGTAGACATCCCCATGGACACCTCCAGTAGACTTCCCCATGGACACCTCCAGTAGACATCCCCATGGACACCTCCAGTAGACTTCCCCATGGACACCTCCAGTAGACATCCCCATGGACACCTCCAGTAGACATCCCTTCATTGAAGATCTCAGGAGGTTCTCTCTCCACTCACCTGATTAGTGCAGACATCGTTGTCGCAGTCATAGACACACCTTCCATAAGGGCCAGTCCTCAAATGTTCGGTCAGCGACTCGATGTCATAGACGCCATTGCTGCACACCACCGCTATGGGCCAGCCGAAGTGACCCTGGAGGGAAGAAAGTGAAGGAGTGAAGATTCGGAGATGTTACATCGAAGTCTTTGTTTTATTGGGTGTTCACAGCCTTCTCCTCCTATCTGTGCTGAACGATGAGATGTGTAGATGAGAGGGAGAGGAAGTTAGACCATCGAACAGCGACGTTCCCATCCGATTCTATGTACATTCACCCGATTAACCTTCCCATCCGATTCTATGTACATTCACCCGATTAACCTTCCCATCCGATTCTATGTACATTCACCCGATTAACCTTCCCATCCGATTCTACGTACATTCACCCGATTAACCTTCCCATCCGATTCTATGTACATTCACCCGATTAACCTTCCCATCCGATTCTATGTACATTCACCCGATTAACCTTCCCATCCGATTCTATGTACATTCACCCGATTAACCTTCCCATCCGATTCTATGTACATTCACCCGATTAACCTTCCCATCCGATTCTATGTACATTCACCACACTAACCTTCCCATCCGATTCTACGTACATTCACCCGATTAACCTTCCCATCCGATTCTATGTACATTCACCCGATTAACCTTCCCATCCGATTCTACGTACATTCACCCGATTAACCTTCCCATCCGATTCTATGTACATTCACCACACTAACCTTCCCATCCGATTCGATGTACATTCACCCGATTGTATTCATGTTGTCATTTCCCTGGTGGAGACATCCAATAGCCCTGAGACTGCTCCTGGGTGCCGCCATCTTGGATGTGATGTCAGAAGCTCCAGCAGACTTTACAGCTTTCCCCTTCACCTCTCCTTAGCTCCATAAAAGGTTATGTAGGGAGGGACGGAGGAGCTGGGCCAGCACAGAGAGTAATTAGACACTCCCAGGGGAGGAGCTGGGCCAGCACAGAGAGTAATTAGACACTCCCAGGGGAGGAGCTGGGCCAGCACAGAGAGTAATTAGACACTCCCAGGGGAGGAGCTGGCTATGATGGAGGAGGGAGAGGGATGTGTCAGGGAATTGGCTGGAGGAAGTTCGGTTGGAATCAGATGATTTCAGAACATCTGGAGACACACGGAGCCAGTATTGGTCCAATCTGCCCACAGACATCCAATGGCAGTGAGAGATTCGGGAACAATCCAACCGCCAACGGTCTTTCCCATAAATCAGCTGGTCTGGGCAATGGGCACCTCATGACTTCGCTGACATCGATGTTGGTGCCTGGAGGGGGATGGGCTGCTGACAGCGTGCACCAATCAGAAGCCACATTATGGCCACACACCTAGAATTGGGTCGGTTCCCCTTTTGCTGCCAAAACAGCCCCAATCCATAGAGGACTCCAACGTACCATCCACATCAATGGCGGGACCCAAGGTTCCCAAGGCTGCTCGGTGGGTCAGGCCATGATGAAGGCTGCTCGGTGGTCACACCATAATGAAGGCCACTCAGTGGTCAGGCCATGATGAAGGCCGCTCAGTTGTCAGGCCATAATGAAGGCCGCTCGGTGGTCAGGCCATGATGAAGGCCGCTCAGTGGTCAGGCCATAGTGAAGGCCGCTCGGTGGTCAGGCCATAATGAAGGCCGCTCAGTGGTCACGCCATAATGAAGGCTGCTCGGTGGTCAGGCCATGGTGAAGGCCGCTCGGTGGTCACACCATAATGAAGGTCGCTCGGTGGTCACACCATAATGAAGGTCGCTCGGTGGTCAGGCCATGGTGAAGGCCGCTCGGTGGTCACACCATAATGAAGGTCGCTCGGTGGTCACACCATAATGAAGGTCGCTCGGTGGTCACACCATAATGAAGGTCGCTCGGTGGTCAGGCCATAATGAAGGCCGCTCGGTGGTCAGGCCATGGTGAAGGCCGCTCGGTGGTCACACCATAATGAAGGTTGCTCAGTGGTCACACCATAATGAAGGTCGCTCGGTGGTCAGGCCATAATGAAGGCCGCTCGGTGGTCAGGCCATGGTGAAGGCCGCTCGGTGGTCAGGCCATAGTGAAGGCCGCTCGGTGGTCACACCATAGTGAAGGCTGCTCGGTGGTCAGGCCATGGTGAAGGTCGCTCGGTGGTCACACCATAGTGAAGGCCGCTCGGTGGTCACACCATAGTGAAGGTCGCTCGGTGGTCACACCATAGTGAAGGTCGCTCGGTGGTCACACCATAGTGAAGGTCGCTCGGTGGTCACACCATAATGAAGGCTGCTCGGTGGTCAGGCTACAAATGCACTTCAAACCACCTTGAACGTTTGTGGCCGGCATTGGCCCAATACAGACACTGACAGGCAGATTGCAGCACAATCCGGGAAGACGTTCTCCCCTCCTCCGCCCAGCCCAAGCAGATGTCAGAGAGGAGAAGGGGGTGCGGGGCGCTGCGGCCGTCTGCTGAGCAGATGCATTGTGAGGGTCTTGTGTTTGGCTGCCGCCAGACGGTTCCATTGTAGGACCCCACAAGCCTCGGCCTGCTATTCTCTCCCATTCAATGCCACTTCTTGGCCTCATTCAGCCTCCTCCACGTCTGCCGGAGGCCTCTAATGAGCAGATGGCAGCCGACTCGGCACAATGGATGCCGACCCTTCAACAGCGGCCTTTGTACCCGACTCCCGAATCCCAGATGGAGGATTCACCTCGGGGGCATTCACACGTCTCCTGTATCTATGATGGGCATTCACACGTCTCCTGTATCTATGATGGGCATTCACACGTCTCCTGTATCTATGATGCGGAGGATTCACACGTTTCCTGTACCTATGATGCGGAGGATTCACACGTTTCCTGTACCCATGATGGCGAGGATTCACACGTTTCCTGTACCCATGATGCGGAGGATTCACACGTTTCCTGTATCCATGATGGGGATTCACACGTTTCCTGTATCCATGATGGGGATTCACACGTTTCCTGTATCTATGATGCGGAGGATTCACACGTTTCCTGTATCTATGATGGGGAGGATTCACACGTTTCCTGTACCCATGATGGCGAGGATTCACACGTTTCCTGTACCCATGATGGGGAGGATTCACACGTTTCCTGTACCCATGATGGGGAGGATTCACACGTTTCCTGTATCTATGATGGAGAGGATTCACCTCGGGGCATTCACACGTTTCTGAGATCCATGATGGGGAGGATTCACACACGTTTCCTGTATCTATGATGCGGAGGATTCACACGTTTCCTGTATCTATGATGGGGATTCACACGTTTCCTGTATCTATGATGAGGAGGATTCACACGTTTCCTGTATCCATGATGGAGAGGATTCACACGTTTCCTGTATCCATGATGCGGAAGATTCACACGTTTCCTGTATCCATGATGGGGAGGATTCACACGTTTCCTGTATCTATGATGGGGAGGATTCACACGTTTCCTGTATCTATGATGCGGAAGATTCACACGTTTCCTGTATCCATGATGGGGAGGATTCACACGTTTCCTGTATCTATGATGGGGAGGATTCACACGTTTCCTGTATCTATGATGCGGAAGATTCACACGTTTCCTGTACCCATGATGGCGAGGATTCACACGTTTCCTGTACCCATGATGGCGAGGATTCACACGTTTCCTGTATCCATGATGCGGAGGATTCACACGTTTCCTGTATCCATGATGGGGATTCACACGTTTCCTGTATCCATGATGGGGATTCACACGTTTCCTGTATCTATGATGCGGAGGATTCACACGTTTCCTGTATCTATGATGGGGAGGATTCACACGTTTCCTGTACCCATGATGGCGAGGATTCACACGTTTCCTGTACCCATGATGGGGAGGATTCACACGTTTCCTGTATCTATGATGGAGAGGATTCACCTCGGGGCATTCACACGTTTCTGAGATCCATGATGGGGAGGATTCACACGTTTCCTGTATCTATGATGCGGAGGATTCACACGTTTCCTGTATCTATGATGGGGATTCACACGTTTCCTGTATCTATGATGAGGAGGATTCACACGTTTCCTGTATCCATGATGGAGAGGATTCACACGTTTCCTGTATCCATGATGCGGAAGATTCACACGTTTCCTGTATCCATGATGGGGAGGATTCACACGTTTCCTGTATCTATGATGGGGAGGATTCACACGTTTCCTGTATCTATGATGCGGAAGATTCACACGTTTCCTGTATCCATGATGGGGAGGATTCACACGTTTCCTGTATCTATGATGGGGAGGATTCACACGTTTCCTGTATCCATGATGCGGAAGATTCACACGTTTCCTGTATCCATGATGGGGAGGATTCACACATTTCCTGTATCCATGATGGGGAGGATTCACACGTTTCCTGTATCTATGATGGGGAGGATTCACACGTTTCCTGTATCTATGATGCGGAGGATTCACACGTTTCCTGTATCTATGATGGGGATTCACACGTTTCCTGTACCCATGATGGGGATTCACACGTTTCCTGTATCTATGATGGGGAGGATTCACACGTTTCCTGTATCTATGATGGGGATTCACACGTTTCCTGTACCCATGATGGGGATTCACACGTTTCCTGTATCTATGATCGGAGGATTCACACGTTTCCTGTATCTATGATGGGGATTCACACGTTTCCTGTGCCATGATGGATTCACACGTTTCCTGTATCTATGATGGGGATTCACACGTTTCCTGTACCCATGATGAGGGGATTCACACGTTTCCTGTACCCATGATGGGGATTCACACGTTTCCTGTATCCATGAAATGGGGGGATTCACACGTTTCCTGTATCTATGATGATCTATGATGAGGAGGATTCACACGTTTTCCTGTACCCATGATGAGGAGGATTCACACGTTTCCTGTACCCATGATGGGAGGATTCACACGTTTCCTGTACCCATGATGGGGGATTCACACGTTTCCTGTATCCATGATGGGGAGGATTCACACATTTCCTGTATCTATGATGAGGAGGATTCACACATTTCCTGTACCTATGATGGGGAGGATTCACACGTTTCCTGTACCCATGATGGGAGGATTCACACGTTTCCTGTTCCATGATGGGGAGGATTCACACGTTTCCTGTATCTATGATGGGAGGATTCACACGTTTCCTGTACCCATGATGGAGGATTCACACGTTTCCTGTACCCATGATGCGGAAGATTCACACGTTTCCTGTACCCATGATGACGTTTTCCTGAGGAGGATTCACACGTTTCCTGTACCCATGATGGGGAGGATTCACACGTTTCCTGTACCCATGATGCGGAGGATTCACACGTTTCCTGTACCCATGATGCGGAGGATTCACACGTTTCCTGTACCCATGATGAAGATTCACACGTTTCCTGTACCCATGATGAGGATTTCACACGTTTCCTGTACCCATGATGAGGATTCACACGTTTCCTGTATCCATGATGCAGAGATTCACACGTTTCCGGTATCCATGATGGGGAGGATTCACACGTTTCCTGTACCCATGATGGGGAGGATTCACACGTTTCCTGTACCCATGATGCGGAGGATTCACACGTTTCCTGTACCCATGATGAGGATTCACACGTTTCCTGTATCCATGATGCAGAGGATTCACACGTTTCCGGTATCTATGATGCGGAGGATTCACACGTTTCCTGTATCCATGATGGGGAGGATTCACACGTTTCCTGTACCCATGATGGGGAGGATTCACACGTTTCCTGTACCCATGATGCGGAGGACTCACACGTTTTTCCTGTATCCATGATGGGGATGGGAGGATTCACACGTTTCCGATATCCATGATGCGGAGGATTCACACGTCCATGATGCGGAGGATCCACGTTTCCTGTATCCATGATGGGGAGGATTCACACGTTTCCTGTATCCATGATGGGGAGGATTCACACATTTCCTGTAGCCATGATGGGGAGGATTCACACATTTTTCCTGTATCCTATGATGCGGAGGATTCACACGTTTCCTGTATCCATGATGGGGAGGATTCACACATTTCCTGTAGCCATGATGGGGAGGATTCACACGTTTCCTGTACCCATGATGGAGAGGATTCACACGTTTCCTGTATCCATGATGCGGAGGATTCACACATTTCCTGTAGCCATGATGGGGAGGATTCACACGTTTCCTGTATCTATGATGCGGAGGATTCACACGTTTCCTGTATCCGGCTGACCTCTGTAGGTGGCCCCGGCTGACCTCTGTAGTGGCCCCGGCTCACCTCTGTAGTGGCCCCGGCTCACCTCTGTAGTGGCCCCGGCTCACCTCTGTAGTGGCCCCCGGCTCACCTCTGTAGTGGCCCCCGGGCTGACCTCTGTAGGTGGCCCCCGGGCTGACCTCTGTAGGTGGCCCCGGCTGACCTCTGTAGGTGGCCCTGGCTGACCTCTGTAGTGGCCCCGGCTGACCTCTGTAGGTGGCCCCGGCTGACCTCTGTAGTGGCCCTGGCTCACCTCTGTAGTGGCCCCGGCTCACCTCTGTAGTGGCCCCGGCTCACCTCTGTAGTGGCCCCGTCTAATGTCTTTGGCCCAGAAGTGTGCAGATCCGGAGCTCCGCCTATCCGGTGTCAGTGATCGCACTCTTCTTCTGGGTCAGTGACACCGACACAAAGGATCGGCATGACAGCCAAGCAAGCAGCATGTTCAGCAATGGCCGCCTCCACCTCGCCAGTCACAGAAGATGGTCTGGACTCACCTTGTTGAGATAAATCTTCTGCACCGAGTATGGACACGCCTCCTGCACCGCACAGTCCAGACACCGACTGCTGGCACCACTGGGCTGCAATAGAGGGTCAGAAGTCGGTGATCGATGGACAACTCTATCCTGAACATCATACAAGGGCAGATCTCGTGATCCCACATTGGATGGATCCATGACACCAATCACACCCTGGCCGACCTCTCATTGGGGGGAACAATCCTCCCCCCCCCCCCATACACAGGTATGCTCAGTCCAGTCTACACCACCAGTCCATAGAGGTGAATGGATGGATGGGGGGGGGGGGGTCTGCCTGACCGGACCAATCACATGACAGGGTCTTAGGGGACGTACGGCCAATCCTCCGGAATGTTCCATCTCACTGTATACAATGTATCCTCTGTACACATCAGGAGGTATATATACTCAGCCACTTCATTGGGTGCCAATCACACGGCAGCAACTCCATGAATTTAGGTATCTAGACGCGGTGAAGACAACTTGCTGAAGTACAAACCGATCATCAGAATGGGGAGGAAAGGGGATTGAAGTGACTGAATGTGATTGTTGGTGCCAGACGGGCCGGTCTGAGGACTTCAAAAACTGCCGATCTCCTGGGATCTTCCTGCCCAGCCATCTCTATGGAAATCCAGACCCATCAGACCCGGCAGCGTTCTCCCATCTTCTATTGTCCAGGTTTTGGGGATCCTGTGCAAATTGTAGCCTCCGTTTCCTGTTCTTAGCTGACAGGAGTGACACTTGATGTGGTCTCAGCTGACAGGAGTGACACTTGATGTGGTCTCAGCTGACAGGAGTGGCATCCGATGTGGTCTCAGCTGACAGGAGTAGCATCCGGTGTGGTCTCAGCTGACAGGAGTGGCCCCCAGTGTGTGGTCTCAGCTGACAGGAGTGGCCCCAGGTGTGGTCTCAGCTGACAGGAGTGGCCCCAGGTGTGGTCTCAGCTGACAGGAGTGGCCCCAAGTGTGGTCTCAGCTGACAGGAGTGGCCCCCGGTATGGTCTCAGCTGACAGGAGTGGCCCCCAGTATGGTCTCAGCTGACAGGAGTGGCACCCGGAATGGTCTTCTGCTGCTGTAGCCCATCTGCTTCCAGGTTGGACGTGTTGTGTGTTCAGAGATGGGATTCTGCATACCTTGGGTGTAACGAGGGGTTATTGGAGTTCCTGTTGCCTATCATCTCCTACCAGTCTGCCCATTCTCCTCTGACCTCTGACCCCAACAAGGCATTTTCCTCCACACAACTGCCGCTCGCTGGATATTTTCTCCTTTTCGGACCATTCTCTGTAACCCCGGAGATGGTTGTGCGGGAAAATCCCAGGAGATCAGCAGTTTTTTAAATACTCAGACCAGCCCGTCTGGCACCAACAACCATGCCACGTTCAAAGTCAATGAAATCCCCTTTCCTCCCCATTCTGATGCTCGGTTTGAACTTCAGCAAGTCGTCTTCACCACGTCTAGATGCCTAAATGCATTGAGTTGCTGCCATGTGATTGGCTGATTAGCAGTTTGTGTGACCAAGCAACTGGACAGATGAACCTAATAATAAAGAGGGGGGGGGGGGGGGGGGGGAGGGGGGGCACATCGTTACATCTCATTCTATACAATGTATCGTCTGTGGACCCCGGGAGTGATACACGTCATCACGTCTCATTCTCCATGTTGTATACAATGTATCGTCTGTGGACACAGGGAGTGATACACGTCATCACGTCTCACTCTCCATGTCGTATACAATGTATTGTCTGTGGACACTGGGAGTGATACACGTCATCACGTCTCACTCTCCATGTTGTATACAATGTATCGTCTGTGGACCCCGGGAGTGATACACGTCATCACGTCTCATTCTCCATGTTGTATACAATGTATCGTCTGTGGACACAGGGAGTGATACACGTCATCACGTCTCACTCTCCATGTTGTATACAATGTATCGTCTGTGGACACCGGGAGTGATACACGTCATCACGTCTCACTCTCCATGTTGTATACAATGTATCGTCTGTGGACACCGGGGGAGTGATACACGTCATCACGTCTCACTCTCCATGTCGTATACAATGTATCGTCTGTGGACACCGGGAATGATACACGTCATCACGTCTCACTCTCCATGTCGTATACAATGTATCGTCTGTGGACACCGGGGAGTGATACACGTCATCACGTCTCACTCTCCATGTTGTATACAATGTATTGTCTGTGGACACCGGGAGTGATACACGTCATCACGTCTCACTCTCCATGTCGTATACAATGTATCGTCTGTGGACACCGGGAGTGATACACGTCATCACGTCTCACTCTCCATGTCGTATACAATGTATCGTCTGTGGACACCGGGGAGTGATACACGTCATCACGTCTCACTCTCCATGTCGTATACAATGTATCGTCTGTGGACACCGGGAGTGATACACGTCATCACGTCTCACTCTCCATGTCGTATACAATGTATCGTCTGTGGACCCCGGGAGTGATACACGTCATTCCACGTCTCACTCTAAATGTCGTATACAAATGTATCGTCTGTGGACCCCGGGAGTGATACACGTCATCACGTCTCATTCTCCATGTTGTATACAATGTATCGTCTGTGGACCCCGGGAGTGACACACGTCATCACGTCTCACTCTCCATGTCGTATACAATGTATCGTCTGTGGACCCCGGGAGTGATACACGTCATCACGTCTCACTCTCCATGTCGTATACAATGTATCGTCTGTGGACCCCGGGAGTGATACACGTCATCACGTCTCACTCTCCATGTCGTATACAATGTATCGTCTGTGGACCCCGGGAGTGATACACGTCATCACGTCTCACTCTCCATGTCGTATACAATGTATCGTCTGTGGACCCCGGGAGTGATACACGTCATCACGTCTCACTCTCCATGTCGTATACAATGTATCGTCTGTGGACCCCGGGAGTGATACACGTCATCACGTCTCACTCTCCATGTCGTATACAATGTATCGTCTGTGGACCCCGGGAGTGATACACGTCATCACGCCTCACTCTCCATGTCGTATACAATGTATCGTCTGTGGACCCCGGGAGTGACACACGTCATCACGCCTCACTCTCCATGTCGTATACAATGTATCGTCTGTGGACCCCGGGAGTGATACACGTCATCACGTCTCACTCACTCTCCATGTCGTATACAATGTATCGTCTGTGGACCCCGGGAGTGATACACGTCATCACGTCTCACTCTCCATGTCGTATACAATGTATCGTCTGTGGACCCGGGAGTGTGATACACGTCATCACGTCTCACTCTCCATGTCGTATACAATGTATCGTCTGTGGACCCCGGGAGAATGATACACGTCATCACGTCTGACTCTCCATGTCGTATACAATGTATCGTCTGTGGACCCCGGGAATGATACACGTCATCACGCCTCACTCTCCATGTCGTATACAATGTATCGTCTGTGGACCCCGGGAGTGACACACGTCATCACGCCTCACTCTCCATGTCGTATACAATGTATCGTCTGTGGACCCCGGGAGTGATACACGTCATCACGCCCTCACTCTCCATGTCGTATACAATGTATCGTCTGTGGACCCCGGGAGTGATACACGTCATCACGTCTCACTCTCCATGTCGTATACAATGTATCGTCTGTGGACCCCGGGGTTGTACACTCATACCTTGTTCTCCTTGGTACAATGAAGTGAGACAGCGCACCGAACGATGACACCTTCACACACCTGGAAGGAGAGGAGGAGGAGTGATGAGCTGCGTTGTGGTCACCGGGGGGGGGGGGGGGGGGGGGGGGGGGGAGGGGGAGGGGGGGTCGATGTGCGTTACATTGGAAACAATGAAAATGTGAAATCGCAGAACGGACAGGAGAGAGGAAGGTTGTTATAGCGCAGCGGCTGGCGTGCCGCATACTGCACCGCACTACTACTCTTAGTCGCAGAAAAAAAAAGCAGTGCATGAAGTCGGAGTGTGTGAAGTCAGGGTGCGTGAAGTCGGGGTGCGTGAAGTCGGAGTGCGTGTGCAGTCAGGGGTGCGTGAAGTCGGGGTGCATAAAGTCGGGGTGCGTGAAGTCGGAGTGCGTGAAGTCAGGGTGCGTGAAGTCGGGGTGCATGAAGTCGGGGTGCGTGAAGTCGGGGGTGCGTGAAGTCGGAGTGTGTGAAGTCGGGGTGCGTGAAGTCGGGGTGCGTGAAGTCGGGGTGCGTGAAGTCGGAGTGCGTGAAGTTGAAGGGGGGTGCGTGAAGTCGGGGTGCATGAAGACGGGGTGCGTGAAGTCGGAGTGCGTGAAGTCGGGGGTGCGTGAAGACGAGGGGGGGGAATGAAGTCGGGGTGCATGAAGTTGGGGTGCGTGAAGTCGGGGGGAATGAAGTCAGGGTACATGAAGTTGGGGTGCATGAAGTCAGGGTGCATGAAGTCATGAAGTCGGGGTGCATGAAGTCGGGGGCGCATGAAGTCGGAGTGCATGAAGTCGGGGTGCATGAAGTCATGAAGTCGGGGTGCATGAAGTCGGGGTGCATGAAGTCGGAGTGCATGATGTCGGGGTGCACGAAGTCGGGGTGTATGAAGTCGGGGTGCATGAAGTCGGGGTGTATGAAGACGGGGTGCATGAAGTCGGAGTGCATGAAGTCGGGTGCGTGAAGTCGGGGTGTATGAAGTCGGGGTGCGTGAAGTCGGGGGGGAATGAAGTCAGGGTGCATGAAGTTGGGGGGTGCGTGAAGTTGGGGTGCGTGAAGTTGGAGTGCGTGAAGTCGGGGTGCGTGAAGTCGGGGTGCATGAAGACGGGGTGCATGAAGACGGGGGTGTGTGAAGTCGGGGTGCGTGAAGTCGGGGGGGAATGAAGTCATGAAGTCAGGGTGCATGAAGTCGGGGTGCATGAAGTCATGAAGTCGGGGTGCATGAAGTCGGGGTGCATGAAGTCATGAAGTCGGAGTGCTTGAAGTCGGAGTGCATGAAGTCGGGGTGCATGAAGTCGGGGGGGAATGAAGTCGGGGTGCATGAAGTCGGGGTGCATGAAGTCGGGGGGGAATGAAGTCGGGGTGCATGAAGTCGGGGTGCATGAAGTCGGGGTGCGTGAAGTTGGAGTGCGTGAAGTCGGGGTGCGTGAAGTCGGGGTGCGTGAAGTCGGGGTGCGTGAAGACGGGGTGCGTGAAGACGGGGTGTGTGAAGTCGGGGTGCGTGAAGTCGGGGGGGGGAATGAAGTCAGGGGTGCATGAAGTCGGGGTGCATGAAGTCATGAAGTCGGGGTGCATGAAGTCGGGGTGCATGAAGTCGGGGTGCATGAAGTCGGGGTGCATGAAGTCGGGGTGCATGAAGTCGGGTGCATGAAGTCGGGGTGCGTGAAGTCGGGGGGGAATGAAGTCGGGGTGTATGAAGTCGGGGTGCGTGAAGTCGGGGGGGAATGAAGTCGGGGTGCATGAAGTCGGGTGCATGAAGTCGGGGTGCGTGAAGTCGGGGGGAATGAAGTCGGGGTGTATTTAGGTTTTGTGCTGCCCTGAGCAACAATCAGAAAAAAAAATCCCCCCTCCCTGGTGGACAATGACCAACACCAGAACCCCCCATGGAGAGATCCTTCCACTAACACCAACCCCCCCCCCCCCCCCACCACGGAAAAGTGATCTGGAACACGCCAAAAAACACACCACATGGAGAAAACACATCTGAACTGCATTTCTATGGTGTGAACCGACCCAAAGGGACCAACACTGACTAAAGGAAATTATTTTAGTGTTGGATGGAGAGGGAGGGGTGAGACCCCCTGTCAGTGTTGGATGGAGGGGGAGGGGTGAGACCCCCTGTCAGTGTTGGATGGAGAGGGAGGGGTGAGACCCCCTGTCAGTGTGTTGGATGGAGGGGGAGGGGTGAGACCCCCTGTCAGTGTTGGATGGAGGGGGAGGGGTGAGACCCCCTGTCAGTGTTGGATGGAGGGGGAGGGGGGGGGGAGGGGTGAGACCCCCTGTCAGTGTTGGATGGAGGGGGAGAGGGGGGAGGGGTGAGACCCCCTGTCAGTGTTGGATGGAGGGGGAGGGGTGAGACCCCCTGTCAGTGTTGGATGGAGGGGGAGAGGTGAGACCCCCTGTCAGTGTTGGATGGAGGGGGAGGGGTGAGACCCCCTGTCAGTGTGGGATGGAGGGGGAGGGGTGAGACCCCCTGTCAGTGTTGGATGGAGGGGGGGGGGTGAGACCCCCTGTCAGTGTTGGATGGAGGGGGAGCGGGGAGACCCCCTGTCAGTGTTGGATGGAGGGGGAGGGGTGAGACCCCCTGTCAGTGTTGGATGGAGGGGGAGGGATGAGACCCCCTGTCAGTGTTGGATGGAGGGGGAGGGATGAGACCCCCTGTCAGTGTTGGATGGAGGGGGGGGGGGACCCCCTGTCAGTGTTGGATGGAGGGGGAGGGGGGAGACCCTCTATCAGTGTTGGATGGAGAGGGAGGGGTGAGACCCCCTGTCAGTGTTGGAGGGGGGAGGGGTGAGACCCCCTGTCAGTGTTGGATGGAGGGGGAGAGGGGTGAGACCCCCTGTCAGTGTTGGATGGAGGGGGAGAGGTGAGACCCCCCGTCAGTGTTGGATGGAGGGGGAGGGATGAGACCCCCTGTCAGTGTTGGATGGAGGGGGAGGGGTGAGACCCCCTGTCAGTGTGGGATGGAGGGGGAGGGGTGAGACCCCCTGTCAGTGTTGGATGGAGGGGGAGAGGTGAGACCCCGTCAGTGTTGGATGGGGGGGAGGGATGAGACCCCCTGTCAGTGTGGAGATGGAGGGGGGGGGAGGGGTAAGACCCCCTGTCAGTGTTTGGGATGGATGAGGGGGGACCACCCCCTGTCAGTGTTGGATGGAGGGGGGAGGGGTGAGACCCCTGTCAGTGTGTGTGGGATGGAGGGGGAGGGGTGAGACCCCCTGTCAGTGTTGGATGGAGGGGGGGGGGGACCCCCTGTCAGTGTTGGATGGAGGGGGAGGGGGGAGACCCTCTATCAGTGTTGGATGGGAGGGAGGGGTGAGACCCCCTGTCAGTGTTGGGATGGAGGGGGAGGGGTGAGACCCCCTGTCAGTGTTGGATGGAGGGGAGGGATGAGACCCCCTGTCAGTGTTGGATGGAGGGGGAGGGGTAAGACCCCCTGTCAGTGTTGGATGGAGGGGGGAGACCCCCTGTCAGTGTTGGATGGATGGAGGGGGAGGGGTGAGACCCCCTGTCAGTGTGGGATGGAGGGGGGGAGGGGGTGAGACCCCCTGTCAGTGTTGGATGGAGGGGGAGGGGTGAGACCCCCTGTCAGTGTTGGATGGAGGGGGGAGCGGGGGGGAGACCCCCTGTCAGTGTTGGATGGAGGGGGAGGGGTGAGACCCCCTGTCAGTGTTGGATGGAGGGGGAGGGATGAGACCCCCTGTCAGTGTTGGATGGAGGGGGAGGGATGAGACCCCCTGTCAGTGTTGGATGGAGGGGGAGGGGGGAGACCCCCTGTCAGTTTTGGATGGAGGGGGAGGGATGAGACCCCCTGTCAGTGTTGGATGGAGGGGGAGGGATGAGACCCCCTGTCAGTGTTGGATGGAGGGGGGGGGGGAGACCCCCTGTCAGTGTTGGATGGAGGGGGGGAGGGGTGAGACCCCCTGTCAGTGTTGGATGGAGGGGGAGGGTGAGACCCCCTGTCAGTGTTGGATGGAGGGGGAGGGGTGAGACCCCTGTCAGTGTTGGATGGAGGGGGAGGGGTGAGACCCCCTGTCAGTGTTGGATGGGAGGGGTGAGGGATGAGACCCCCTGTCAGTGTTGGATGGAGGGGGAGGGGTGAGACCCCCTGTCAGTGGTTGGATGGAGGGGAAGGGATGAGACCCCCTGTCGGTGTTGGATGGAGGGGGGGGGGGAGACCCCCTGTCAGTGTTGGATGGAGGGGGGAGGGGTGAGACCCCCTGTCAGTGTTGGATGGAGGGGGAGGGGGGAGACCCCCTGTCAGTGTTGGATGGAGGGGGAGAGGTGAGACCCCCTGTCAGTGTTGGATGGAGGGGGAGGGGTGAGACCCCCTGTCAGTGTTGGATGGAGGGGGAGGGGTGAGACCCCCTGTCAGTGTTGGATGGAGGGGGAGAGGTGAGACCCCCTGTCAGTGTTGGATGGAGGGGAGGGGTGAGACCCCCTGTCAGTGTTGGATGGAGGGGGGAGAGGTGAGACCCCCTGTCAGTGTTGGATGGAGGGGGAGGGGTGAGACCCCCTGTCAGTGTTGGATGGAGGGGGAGGGGTGAGACCCCCTGTCAGTGTTGGATGGAGGGGGGGGAGGGGTGAGACCCCCTGTCAGTGTTGGATGGAGGGGGAGGGGTGAGACCCCCTGTCAGTGTTGGATGGAGGGGGAGGGTTTGGCTCAGTCAGGGGAGGTGAGGGAAGTTTCGGGGGGTTTCTGATCACATGATATCCGGTGTAGGGGGGACATTGTATGAAGTTCGGATGACATTCGGGGGTCAGGCGGCTCCATAACTTCAATCACAAGACGCAGATTTTGGGGGAATTGTAGAGAGCTGAGTGAACACAACACTCAGGTGACTCTTCTGAGCGCGGAGCTGATGCCGCTTCCAATCAACAGAAGGGGGCGCCAGCGCGTTTCTTAATTAGGCGCGATCCATCCTTTGTTCTGTGGCTGTGAGAAGCACAGAGAGCTGGAGCTGCATGCCCACCAATCCCCCCCTCCCCCCCCCCACTCAGAGTTTGGGGGTAATGAGGGTCACTAACTCTGCGCAGGCTCTGCTAGTGTAGAGTGATCACTGCACGGGCAGAGACGGGGGATGTGTGCTGTCTGTGGAGAGCTCACATCCCGTATGACAAGGACAGACCTGGCGGGATCTGCGGCAGTTTTCTATATGGAGAACGACTGTATTCCCTCCCTGATCAGGTGCAGCTCCGTGATAGGTCCACCCGCCTCTGCTGGGGCTTCCTGCGGGATTATATTCCCCGGATACACGGGGCCCCGAGGGAAACAAACGGCTCGATCACCGAGGGAAACAAACGGCTCGATCACCGAGGGAAACAAACGGCTCGATCACCGAGGGAAACAAACGGCTCGATCACCGAGGGAAACAAACGGCTCGATCACCGAGGGAAACAAACGGCTCGATCACCGAGGGAAACAAACGGCTCGATCACCGAGGGAAACAAACGGCTCGATCACCGAGGGAAACAAACGGCTCGATCACCGAGGGAAACAAACGGCTCGATCACCGAGGGAAACAAACGGCTCGATCACCGAGGGAAACAAACGGCTCGATCACCGAGGGAAACAAACGGCTCGATCACCGAGGATAACGCATGAGCACAAATATTCCAATAAATGGTATCTACACCCCAAACATGGTCACATTGCGGCTTCGCGGTCCTCAGACGGGACGGCATTCGTCAGGCTGGACTGCAGAAATGTTCGATCATCAGGTGGGAGCTGATTGGATTGTTAGTTACACAGAAAGAGAACATTGGCCCCGGGGCCCCGCGGGGGAGTCTCTGTACCTTTGTTTGCCCATCCAGTAGGAGATCAGATCGATGTCATGGCAGGACTTGGCCAGCAGAGAGAACGTGCTCTCCGCCTCATTCCGCCAGTTTCCTCGCACATACGAGTTTGTGCGCAAAGTGCCAGAACCCGACCTTCACCGCAAGAGAAAACTTTATATATAGTCTGTAGAGAAACAATGGACACATCCCCTCCCCCCATGACACATCACTTACCCCCCCCCCCCCCCAACGACACATCACCTACCAACACCACATTACATACCCCCCCCCCAACGACACATCACCTACCCCAACACCCCATTACTTACCCCCCCAACAACACATCATCTACCCCCAACACCCCATTACATACCCCCCCAACGACACATCACCTACCCCAACACCCCATTACATACCCCCCCCCCCCCAAAACACCTCACCTACCCTAAACAAACCCCCAAACAACCCCCCCAACCACACATCCCCACCTAAAAACCCACCACATTACATACCCCCCAAACACATCACCTACCCCAACACCAAAAACATACCCCCCCAAAAAGGACACACCACATTACATACCCCCCAATGACACATCAAACCCCAACACCCACATCACAACAAACCCCCCCCCAACGACACATCACCAACAAAACCCCAACACCCCAAAAACATACCCCCCCAACCCCCCCAACACCACCCCACAAACCCCCCCAACCACCCCACAAAAACCCCAACACCCCATTACATACCCCCCCAATGACACACAAACTACCTAAAACCCACACACCCATACAACCCCCAAAAAACACCCACCCCCCCAAACCCAACACCCCCCCCCAAACCCCCAAAAACCCCATAAACCAAACCAACCCCAAACACCCCAAATAACCCCTCCAAAACCCACCCCCCCAACCCCCCCCCCCCCAACCCCCCCCCAACAAAAAAACCCCCACATACCCCAAACCCCAAAAACCCCCCCCAACACACCACCTACCCCAAAACCACAAAAACCCCCAAACACATCACCACCCCAACACCGCAAACATACCCCCCAACAACACCCAAAACCCCAACACCAAAAAAACAAAAAAAAAACAACCCAAAAAAACATCACATACCCCCCAACGACACCTCACCTACCCCAACTACCCCAAAAAAAACCACCAAACACATACCCCCCAACGACACCTCACCTACCCCAACACCACATTACCCCCCCCCCCCAATGACACATCACCTACCCCAACAACACATCACTTACCCCCCAACGACACATCACCTACCCCAACACAACATTACATACCCCCCCCCCCCCCAATGACACCTCACCTACCCCAACCCCACCCCAATTACATACCCCCCCCCCCCATGACACATCACTAGGGTGACCACCCTCATCCCTTTAAACCCGAACACACATTAAAACTCGGGTTCTGGGGCTGATTAAGGTGGTAATTAAACTCACTTGGTGCCTCATCTGCATTAAATCAGCCCCAGAACACGTGTCATTAATGTGTGTTCGGGTTTTAAAGGGATGAGGTGGTCACCCTAGTGATGTGTCATGGGGGGGGGGTATGTAATGGGGTGTTGGGGTAGGTGAGGTGTCATGGGGGGGGGGGGGGGGTATGTAATGTGGTGTTGGGGTAGGTGATGTGTCATTGGGTGTGGGGGGGGGTATGTAATGTGGTGTTGGGGTAGGTGATGTGGTGTTGGGGGTGTAAGTGATGTTGTTGTTGGGGTAGGTGATGTGTCGTTGGGGGAGGGGGTATGTAATGTGGTGTTGGGGTAGGTGAGGTGTCATTGGGGGGGGGGTATGTAATGTGGTGTTGGGGTAGGTGATGTGTCGTTGGGGGAGGGGGTATGTAATGTGGTGTTGGGGTAGGTGAGGTGTCGTTGGGGGAGGGGGTATGTAATGTGGTGTTGGGGTAGGTGAGGTGTAGTTGGGGGAGGGGGTATGTAATGTGGTGTTGGGGTAGGTGAGGTGTCATTGGGGGGGGGGGGGTATGTAATGTGGTGTTGGGGTAGGTGATGTGTCGTTGGGGGAGGGGGTATGTAATGTGGTGTTGGGGTAGGTGATGTGGTTTTGGGGTAGGGGGTGAGGTGGTCGTTGGGGGAGGGGGTATGTAATGTGGTGTTGGGGTAGGTGAGGTGTAGTTGGGGGAGGGGGTATGTAAAACGGGGGGTTGGGGTAGGTGGTGTCATGGGGGCGGGTATGTAATGTGGTGTTGGGGTAGGTGATGTGGTGTTGGGGTAGGTGAGGTGTCGTTGGGGCGGGTATGTAATGGGGGTGTTGGGGTAGGTGAGGTGTCATGGGGGCGGGTATGTAATGGGGGTGTTGGGGTAGGTGAGGTGTCATGGGGGCGGGTATGTAATGGGGTGTTGGGGGTAGGTGAGGTGTCATGGGGGCGGGTATGTAATGGGGGTGTTGGGGTAGGTGAGGTGTCGTTGGGGGAAAAAATGTAATGGGGTGTTGGGGTAGGTGAGGTCCATGGGGGCGGGTATGTAATGTGGTGTTGGGGTAGGTGAGGTGTCATGGGGGCGGGTATGTAATGGGGTGTTGGGGTAGGTGAGGTGTCGTTGGGGGAGGGGGTATGTAATGGGGTGTTGGGGTAGGTGAGGTGTCATTCATATGTGTTCGGGTTTATAGGGACAAGGTGGTCACCCTACACATCACCTACCCCCCAAAGACACATGACAGACCCCCATGGCATGTACACACACACAGCCCCCCCCCCCCCCCCCCCCCCATTCAGCATCAGACCGGACCTCCATTGACTGTGATTGTGAGAAGCAGCCCACACATTGGACAATAATCGGATCTCCATCATGGGACACTTACCGGCTCCATGTGCTGGATGTGGACAACCCCCCAATGACTCCAGAATCAATAATTTCCCCCCCCCAGGACAGAAGAGGTGAGGATGGAGGTGTTCCCAGAATGTTCCCGGCTCTCAGAACTTCTCATGTTTATATCCGTGAGTACAGATCAGAGGATCATTCACATATGAACCGTCACCTGAGCACACGGGATTGGCTGGCCGTCGGAAGGAAGCGATCAACGACCAATGATAACAGACTCCATTCACAATGAATGTGACCAATCTCATTGGACGGTTATTCCCCCCCCCTTCATGATGAAGAAAAACAAATCCTAACGCCCCCCCCCCGTGGAACATGCCCAAAAACCTCCCCCCCATACAATCCCCCCCCATACCTACTCCGTGTATCCAGGTGGGAACCCCCCGCGGTTTGTTCAGATTGGGCTTCTGATTGGTGGTCAGTAGGTCCCCCCCGTTGGGCTTCTGATTGGTGGTCAGAAGTCGTTGGGCTTCTGATTGGTGGTCAGTAGTCGTTGGGCTTCTGATTGGTGGTCAGAAGTCGTTGGGCTTCACCCCCACCAGACCCCGTGAATATCTTACCACCCCCCCCCCCCTTACCATCCAGGAAATCTGCCGATGACGTCACACACCAATCAATGCTCCGACAATTGTGGATTTACTGAAGATTCGGAACGCACACCACGGCGCCATTCATGAACATGTGAAGTCATTTCCGTGGGCTGCTCCCCGCCCCCAGAAGAAGCAAAGTTCGTCCCCCCTGTAACCCCCACCCCCCCCCTGAACGATTTCATCTCTGACCCGTCTGAGAATTCGACCTCTTTATTGGACCCGGAAACTTCTCATCTGTAAATGACCCTCAATAACGACGATGCCCTGATCATTAACCGACTTCAAGGAAATGGCCTTCGATCTCTGCTGGAGCCACAGAGAAGAACGGGAAGTCCAGCACAGAGGTCATCCCTTCCCATGAAGAGGTCCACCTTCCGGGACGAGGACCACCGAGGAAAATCCCGGACAAACCGCCTCCCCGAGGGCCTACACAGTCCTCAATACACCCCAGCTCTGCTTCATTCTGATCAATTACATGTCAACCCCCCCCCCCCCCCCCCCCCACATGGCACACCCCCACCCCACCACACACGGCACACCCCCCACCCCCACGGCACACACACACCCCACACGGCACACATGGCACACACACGGCACACATGGCACACACGGCCCACACAGCCCCAGCCCACGGCCAACATGGGACACATGGCACACACAGCCAACATGGCACACACGCCCCACATGGCAAACACGGTACACACGGCCCACACAGCACACATGGACCACACGGCACACATGGCCAACATGGCACACACGGCCCACACACACACACGGCCAACATGGCACAAACAGCCCACATGGACCACACGGCACACACAGCCAACATGGTACACACGGCCCACACGGCACACATGGACCATGCGGCCCACACGGCCAACATGGCACACATGGCCCACACAGCACACACGGCCCACATGGCCAACATGGGACATATGGCACACACGGCCCACAAGGCACACACAGCACACATGGACCCACACGGCACACATGGCCAAAATGGCACACATGGCCCACGCGGCACACACGGCCAACATGGCCCACACGGCACACATGGACCACCCCCCCACCACACCCCCCCCCACGGCACACATGGAACACATGGCCCACACTTTTACACGGCCCCACACTCCCACACGGCCCACACTCCCACCCCCCCCCACCCCCCCCCCCACACTCCCACACGGCCCACACTGCCCACACTCCCCACACTCCCCACACCCCCACACCCCACAACATCCCACACGGCCCACACTGCCACACTGCCCACACTCCCCACACTCCCCACACTGCCACACGGCCCCACTCCCCACACTGCCACACGGCCCACACTCCCACACCACCCCCCCCACACTCCCACACGGCCCCCCACACTGCCACACTGCCCACACCCCCACACTGCCACACCCCACCCCCCCACACGGCCCCACACTGCCACACTGCCCACACTCCCCACACTCCCCACACTGCCACACCCCCCCCACACTGCCCACACTCCCCACACTCCCCACACTGCCACACGGCCCACACTCCCACACGGCCCACACTGCCACACGACGGCCCACACTGCCACACGGCCCACACTGCCACACGGCCCGCACTGCCCACACTCCCACACGGCCCACACTCCCACACTGCCACACTGCCCACACTGCCACACTGCCCACACTCCCCACACTGCCACACGGCCCACACTCCCACA